ATTTTAATAGTATTACTAAGACATACAATAGTTATTTTATGTTTTACTAAAACTATTGGAATTTTTCCTATCCTCGAGAGTAGAATATTCCGGTTTTACATTTTATCTTCAGTTGAAAAAGAATTTGTAATCTTTCTGAAACTTCAACTGAAACAGCTATAAGTTTTTCTAGAAACTATTATTATTTTTATTAACTATTATTACAATGTATCTTGAGGGTTATCCACAAACTATGCTACCAGGGGGTCATGTTTAGAACTACGATTTGTAACCCGAAGGAGGGAGGAGTTTTATAAAAAAAACGTTACTATATTTTTTAATAATGAGTAGTTTATGGACGTCCCCTTACGTTCAGTATTAAAAATGTGATGCTTATATTAGTTTTACAAATCAAAGAAAATTTGTATTGTGTGTTACCGAAAACGAACTGTAATTTAATGAATAAAACATTATTTCTTTATTTGGCTTTTATATTTAAGGAGACTGTAGGCGCAGTATAGCGCGCAGAAATTGTTATTTATTGCCTGCTGAACAATAATAAAAATTGAAAATAATTCCTGTGTAGATGTATGTGTGTGTGTTTGGATTTTAGAAATCTCTTTTTTTGTAATTTTTAAAACAATTTTTTGGTTCTAGAAATTTTAATTTATCCTCTACGTTTGGAATTTTGAAACAGTATAATATATTTGCATAATATTAACACTTTAAAATAATTATTCCACAATACATAGAAGATATTTTTGAAAAGTAAAATTTTAAGACATGAAATACCATTTTTTTTATCTTACGTCTTATTCTAAGATATCAAATACGACTCCTATTTTTACAGTGTAACACAATATTTTTCAGGATCCTTATGCAGTAAGTCTGTACGATTTTTTTGCAGCACACTCTACATGTTTATAAAAAGATTCCCACTTTTTGAATAAAAAAAATTTTTCGAAAATAGGATGTGGTCATGGTAAATAATGTATTTTCAAATATGTAATGTTTCATATCAATTTCATTTAATTCCAAATATTTGATGAAAATATACGCTTAAATAAGTTGTCCAGAAAAGTATTAAAAATTTTTATTAATTATTGGTTTTTGTTTGTAAGCATAGATAATAATTTTTATTTATTATTCACACTCGATTTTTAATATAATGTTTAGAAGTATTTCCATTTTTCGTTCAAAACATTGAGAAAAACTAAGTTGTACACTACGCGGAGAATTGATTCTTATAAAGGAAAATGCTAGGGATCCTGCGTAGGAACAATCCTATACATGTAGGATCCTTCAAAGAAACATACAAGATCTTGTGAAGGATCCTACCAAGGATCATATTTTAAAAGTTGATGTAAAAATATACAAGATCCTACATAGGAAACTTCTCAAGATCTTATGTTGTCATTTTCAACATGTAGGAAAGTTCAAAGGATACCACGTAGGAACATACTCTACCTACATACAAGATCTTGTGAAGGATCCTACCAAGGATCATATTTTAAAAGTTGATGTAAAAATATACAAGATCCTACATAGGAAACTTCTCAAGATCTTATGTTGTCATTTTCAACATGTAGGAAAGTTCAAAGGATACCACGTAGGAACATACTCTACCTACCAGTGTTAAGGAACTTGTGAAGGAACATTCTAAGATTACCACGTAGGAACACATACTAGGTATGTATGAACTTGCGAATGATAATATTAAAGATCCCATGCAGGAACACGTTAACTTTCCTACAAAAGAACATTTTAAAAACAACACTCCACATTGTAGGATCCTTCAAAGGAACACATGCAGGATCATAGTCATGATCCTGCAAGAGATTTTTGATAAGGTTGTTTATGCAGGAACCTGCACTAGATCCTACTTAGGAAACATCATAAGATCCTTTGTTGTAATCATTTTCAACATACAGGAAACCGTGACAGATCAAGCACCGGATCTTTGCAAGATCTTGTGTACAAGGATCTCACATAAGAAACTGTCCAGGAACTTGCGAGAGATCTTATGTAGGAACTTGTAATAGGATCCTGTGTGGGATCCTTTGAAGGAATTTTCAATAGGGTGGAGCTCTTCAGTTTAACATGTAAAAAATAATTATTTCTCATAATATTAACATTAGAATACATACAATACTTTTCAATTTTCACTAAGAATAAAAACAATTTTTTTTTTCATTTTTTTCCTTAATTCTTTGTTCCATAGAGTATCAACAATGATAGTGTTTTGACAACACAAGTCTTTATTCAGCCTTTGTCAGTTGGTGATATACCATTACCATGTGATGAAGGGACGAGTGGAGAACCACAAATTAGTAATAAACTGTCACCGCATGACAATAACAATAACATCTCTTTAACAATGCAACAAGTCCCACTTCAACCATTAGTGACGACTGGACCTTCAAACTTTGATGATCTAAAAATACCTACTCTTAGCTTGGAGACATTTATTACTCGAAAAACAAAGATCCAAAAAATTACTACATCAAAAAAGAGAACAGATATGAAACATCTTGCAAAAGAAGATACACTAGAGGATAAAGTCAAATTTCATAAAGAAGAAGCCCCAACTGCCTCCACCACCTCCACCATTACCACCATTATCACCAACATTACCATCTTCAACATAAAAAAAATTTTTTTTGAATTTGTTTTTCCGTTTTATTCATTTTTTGATGAGAAAATGTTAAAAAACGGTTTACTTGTCAAAAAATATTTAAATTTTTTATTCTTTTTTTATATTCTTTGTTTGAAACATGTTTCAATTTTCATTTTTTTTCTTGGTTTTTCAGTTATTTTTTTTTTTTTTTGGTTTTGATGTTTTTTTTGAAACATGTTTCAATTTTCTATATTGTTTTCTTTTTCAGTTTTCTTGCTTTTTTTTATACTCTTCTTGGAAAAAACATGTTTCATTTATATATATAAATTTTTTTTTGTATTTTCAGTTTTCTTTTATATTTTTGAAATACTTTTTGTTGAAACATGTAATTCTATCTCAAATTTTTCTTATTTTTCTTTCTTTAATATCTGTTTTAATAAAACATAGTTTATTATTTTTAATTTAATTACTCTTTTTAAGATTATTCTCTTCCTTAAACAAAATAATGTTAATTTATGAATTTAATTCAAATTTATTGTAACTAATGTAAATAAAATTATTTTATAATAAAAAATTGAAAAAAAATGTTTTTTTATTCTAAGGTTTAAAAGAGGTTATAAATAAAATGTCGAAATTAAAAAAGAAAGAAATTTGAAATATACATTTTTTTATTTATATTAAACTTGAATCATTTAAATACATTAAAAATTTCAGTTTTTCACAAATACAATCCAATATTATTTTCATAAAATTAAATTTTATTTTTTCCAAATTCAATGTTGTTATATTGCCCTCCTATGTACGTCATAGACAATTTGTTGTCAATTGCTGCTTCTTGCATTGATAACCAGGTGGCGTTATCAGCTTCTAAAGTCTTTATAAAACGGGCAGGCAGGAAGACGTTGAAATTTTTTTCCAATTCCGCAATGATTCTTTCCCCATACTTTGTCTTGACCTTACGAAGTTTCGTGATCTTGAATTGGCTCCCCAGAGTCAACTCTGATAACGGTTTTTGTAGGTAGAAATTCCTCCATTCGTCCAACAGCGTTGATTCTCGTTAGATCCATGTTGCTTTTCAAGTTTCTGGAGATGCTTTTTACCAAACTCGGAGAAGATTAAATGATAAATTTTACCTTAGAGTTAACCTCTTATATACCAAAAAAATCACCCCCACCACAAATCCCCCACTCTAAATGTGCAAAATAGTTGCGCAGTTGCCAAAAAGGTTTATAAATTTAAATCTGTAAAATAATCCCTCTTATAATACTTACCCCCCCCCCCTTCGCACTCATTTTACACCAAATTAAGAAAAGATTAATTTAAATAAAAAAATAGTAATTTTCAAATATTTCATATAGTGGGAATTCCCCACAGACGGCCGCGCGCGAGAGAGAAAGGGGATTCCATTCGCGCGACACATAGACTGTCGACTCAACGCATGAGTACGGCTCAAGTTGCGCATGCCTTGCCTGCAGTATTAGAGCATGACGAGTATTTCCAAAGTATTTTTTGAAATAAAAATGTTTTTAAAATTATTATTTTTTTTTATTAAAACAAATAGTTTAAAATGTTAATAATTATAAAACAATAAATTTCCTTATTATTATTTATTATAATATTTTGTAATAAACTACTTTATCTTGTTTTTTAAAATTATTATTTTTTTAATTTTATTTATTAAAATAACCTTAAACTAAAAGGGTAGGATAAAATTAATAGACAAATTATTTAAATTAACAAAATTTGTTTATTTGTAAAAAAGATCAACATTTTCATAAAAATCTTTAAGTGTTTCAGTAGAATTTACAGTAAAATATCCATTTCGTGAATCAACTTCGTCTCGATTTTTTACAAAACATTCATTTTCAGGCTTTAAAATCCAATTTCTTAACATTAATACATTGTTTGCGGCGCACCATTTTTTATATAGAGTGTGATAGGTACATATATGTGATGACGTTTCAAATTTCAGTTGTTTTATCGAAGGGCAATTAAAGTCTTCAAGGTTTTGTACATTAATTACCTATTTTTCAAGCCACCTTTGTTTTTCTAACCCCTTCACATAAATTTTACGTGCACCTGCCAATAACTCCTGGAGAATTGGTCGCACTTCTTCATATGGTACATCACCAGCAGTCCATTTGAGTCCATGGTAATTGTGCATTAACCATAAATTTTCACTCTTATATCGTCCAGGCAGAGAACTCCAGCTGCAGGGTGGCTCGAACAGAAATACCATCGGTTGTGCATCTTCCTCGAGAGGTAAAATGGCCAACTCCTTGTAGATAAAATCGTTGTATGGTCTTTTAAATCCTTGGAAATCCACAATGAAGTCCATGGTTGTAGGAACTGAAAATTTCTGTCTGGAGACCACCTTTTTATACTTGAGATTTACCCCCACTACTTATGTTACTTTTTTAACAACACCGCTGATTGGTTTATACTGTATAATGCGATCATGAATAATTAAGCAATATGCTGCTGTATTGGCGGGAAAATTTTCACTAGATTCAAATTCCAATCGGACATCAACTGAAGCTTGTTTAAGGAATTCGTTTTGTTTTGAACAATCTATGACAGCCAATGGTGCATAGTCTTTAAAGGTAGTTCTAGAAAGTAACGGCTCAGAATCTTTTCCATAGTATGATGATTGAAAATTACAATACATATCATAAAGGAGAGAATATTTGTTTTGATTAAAATTTAAATTTAAATTACCATAAGGATAATATTGTGAGTTTAAAAAAAGTTTAACATTTATGAGATTAGAGTTATCAAAAAACTTTGCATATCTTGCATGATTATCTTTCCGATTAGTCTGAAATCCAAGTATAACATATCGAGGTTTTTCAACTTGTGTGGATGTTTTTACAGTCCAGCAATGTTTCTGAGTTGCAGGTATCAGTGGATATTCATACATTTCCCATGATCTCATATTTATAAGCGGATCTTTTTCAATAAATTTTAATAATTCTATTCTTCGACGGTCACCAACAAATAAATATGGTATCATCCATTCTACATTAAAGAGTATAATTTTAAATCTTTCACGTTCAACGCCAGTAATGTTAACCACAGCATTAAGATCTGTACGAGATCTTGTCAAAATAAGTTCATGTTTTGCATTTACAACTATTTTTCGGTAGTCTTCAGCAAATCCAAGAATCATGCTTAAAGGTATATTCACATCAAAGTATCCAGCGTTATCTGTTATTCTACTATCATCATCAAAGTTAAGATAACCAGTATTCTCTGAGTAAATAATCTGATTAGGTGTTTGAGAAATATAAGTTTTCATGGTGGTTGTGAGGCCAACATTTTTACAACGATCAATTTCAACACCATTCAGTTCATAACGAATCTCATTAAATAGATAACAAATAGCATTACTAATCAATTTTGTATTAGTCACAACAGTATCGTCAGATTTAACTAATCTTCCATGTACATGTAACGTACTTTTACTAGGAAGAATATACAAATCCTGATGTTGAACAGCAATTCGAATCTCATCGCTATTATTAAATGCTGATGAAACATAAGGTTGATGAGTATGAATCTCAAAATGTGCTAATGAATCATCATATTTAACTGGACTTAGAATATTCAAAGTCTCTTCCATTTTTATTACAACAAATAAAAAAAGCACGAATTATTAATTTTGTTTTTTTCTTTTTTCTTGACGGCGAATTCGCAGACCGAGATGTTTCAGAAAGAGTATGTTCTGATGTGTTAAGCTCTTGCGAACTGATTGAAGACTGAATGTTTTCTGACATGTTGGCTCGTTTATATAACTTCTACCAGATTTCCTGTGAAACACAATGCCCATCATGTTGATTTTACGTGTAGACGAATTGTTATAGTTTCTCCACGGAAATTAACTAAATCTCCGTCCTGATCAACAATTTTAAGTTGAATATTATGTATTGTCTTCACGGCAACTGGAAGATAAATGACATGTGAAGGTACTTCCACAATCTTATATCCAGCAGGTACTACTGGAAAAAACTCATGAATAGTATGGACTTTTTTACCATTAATGTATGCTCCAGTTGTAATACTGCATTCAACTCTAATAGAATTTACCTTTAGTATAGCTACTGGTAAATCAGATGTATGTGTTATATTAGGTGCTAAGGGTCGCGGTGCAAAACCTAATAATTCTCCAATAGAATCTTTTGGCTTAAAACTTACTTTAAGACTACTTTTTATTTCACTTCTTAAAGTATTATTATTTGGTTTTATACTTATAACTGCTGCTTCATCAGTCATAGAGTTTTGAATAAACTTTTCAATATCTTCGATTTCATAACTACCAGGAGGTATAGTAATTATTTGATTACCAATATAAAATTTATTTTTTCCTACATCAACATTTGGAATAGAATTAAATGTTAAAAGTTCTACTAGTCCAAGAATATAATTTTTATTCGGTAACAATTCTATTGGTGGAAAATATTCAGCCTCTAATACAGATGAATTTCCAGAAATGGTTAAAGTAAACGATTCATCCATAATGATGTCTTTTGAAAAACTGACTCTTCACTTAAACTTCACTCATTTATATAGACTATCAGTCAGTTTAAGCTGTTTACACAAAAAATTTAAACATAAATGACCACAATTAAAAGTATCATAATTCTGATAATTTTCATGATTATACTTTATTAAAGTATCATCACCCAGATAATTTGCAAGTTCAAATGGTGGTTGTAGATTGCCAAAACTGTCAAAATACATTACATTTTTATTAACTTTTTTATAAGCAACCCAGTGCGTTTCAGGACCATTTTTATCATCAAGATTAATAATAGCTGATTCAATTTTTCGAGGTCCTCTTTTAGGTAATTCATTTCGCATAAAAACTCCCCGAAAATAAGGAATTTTTAATTGTTTAGCATACTTGTACAAATCATAATCAGTTAATGCTCGTTGAGGAAGTCTTACAACTTTTTTTTTAGACATTTTCTCTTCTTCATTCCTTGACCTTTTGAATGTGGTTTTAAGTGAAGTCCTGCTCCTTTGGAGAAAGGGTTTAAATGAAGTCCTAATCCTTGTCTATAAGGTTTTAAATGTAGTCCTTTACCAATTGCAACTGCATCCATTTTTTTATTATGTCCATGAGCTTCTTTTAACTGTTCCTTAGCAGAATTCGCATCATTTACTGCTTTTGTTACTCCAGCAGCTCCTCCGGCAAGAGCTCCAAGAGCACTTAATCCAGCAAAAATTGGAATTAGTGGTAAAACACCTCCAACTTTTGAAGGTACTGGTAAAATTCGAGGAGCTAAAATTTTTTTTCTACCTCCTGCTTTTTTGATAGCTTTTCGAGCATTTTCAATAGCAGCTTTAATTGTAGATTGAGCATCATTACCTGGAATTATAGATTTTCTAGCAGAATCTACAATTTTTCTTAGTGCTGTTCGTTTCTTCGAAGTCACCTTTGTCTTCTTCTTTTTTCTTCTAACTCCCATACCAAGTTTCGACTTAACTTTCATTGTTCCTGATATTGCTAAAGCAGCAGGTAGCATACGAGCAGTACTCTGTGGTCCATCAAATTGTGGAAAAACTAATGTCCTTTTATCTTTAATATTACATCCTAATGGTCTTAGATTTGAAAACATTTATCTTTACTCGAAATCACTACAACAACCAAAATATAAATTCTTGGAACAAGTTGTTAGTGATGTTGATGGAGTTGAATATTTACCTTTTAGTGAGCATGAAGAAGTAATTGCTCCTCAAGATGCAAAACCAAATTCAATTTTTATATTTGATGATGTTGCTTGTGAAAAACAAGATAATATAAGAGCTTTCTTTTGTATGGGTAGACATGTCAGCGTTGATAGTTTTTATTTATGTCAGACTTATGCAAGGATTTCGAAACATTTAGTGAGAGATAATGTTAATTTGCTAGTTCTTTTTCGCCGAACAAGTATTAAATGAAACTTTTAAACCTATAGTTCAACCTTTAAAAAAAATTGTTAATATATCTGACATTAAGAGTGAAGAGATAGATAGAGTTAAAATTAAAAAGAATGATGAGGAAATTGAAGAGGAAGAATATTCAAACTTTGATGAGGATATCAGTGAAACTGGAGTAAATCATGATGACAATGATGAAGATGATAGTGATAAATTATTAAGTAAATACATGTTCTTATTAAATCATAACAGAAAGCAATGTTTGGATACGGTGTATGGAGTACGTAAAGTCAGTGATGGGTCATTTATGATTGGAGATTCACCAATAATTTTTGACAATCAATTTATTAAAATTGGTGATAAACGTTATGTGCAAAGCGTAGGTCTATTAGAACTTTTATTTAAGAGTAAACCAAACATGCTTAAGGTAAGTAAGAATGATGAAAACAATTTTAAAGAAGTACTCCTAAATACAAATGCTCACAAAAAGAAGTATAGTTCTTCTGAATCAGTTCGAAAAGATAAAAGTTTCAAATATTTAAATATTATTTCAAATCTTTTTTCTTCTTCTTTAAATTCAACTAATAAAAAGAGACAATCAATAACTGGTTCTTCACTACCTCGTTCTATGATAGCTCGAAAAAATGTTAAAACTGATTATATTTATTGGGATGATCCGAATGAATTAGTTGACCGTTTAAGACTGCTAACGGCATCTAGATCAGCTGGTAATCCGAGTCATGACAATGAAATTATGTCTATTATTGAAGAGTTACGTGAAGCAGAAATTATATATTAATAAATGCTCAGTCGACTATAGATCAGTATAAAAATGAGCATTGATGTGTTCGGACATCCTCTTAATCGAGGAGGAAGTGCAGTAGCAAAGCGAGGACCACCTGGACCGATTGGACTTGGTTTTAAAATAAATTCACAAGGCAACTACGACGTTGAAGGTAGAAGAATTTGCAACGTTTCACAGCGGTTCCACATGTAGGCAAAGTCGCACAGTCGTTGCGAGCCCCGTACCCCCACCACAGCTGTTTGTCGAACGTTGTCAGTGGTTCTCTGCTCCACGGTAGCGCAATGGGGGAAGTTGTTTTGGTTTATCCAGACCAAAACTTTTACCCTGATTTTCCTATTTTTATTATTTATTGTAATAATAGTTTTATTGATTAATTTGAAATTTTATTTTCAATAACAAATAAAATTTAAAATAATGTGTAATTTAATTATCAAACACTTCATGATAATAATTAAGGGATTTGATAATTAATAATAATTAATTCATTAAATTAATCATTTAAATAATTAATTAATTAATTAAAATAATAATTAATAATTTAATAAAATGAAAAAATAATTAAGGAAATTTACAATTTGTATTATTAAAAAAATAAAAACATCATTTTTAGAAGTAAAAAATTACTTAACAAACAAATATAATGTGTAAAGTGTGTAAAAAATTGCAAAAGGTTATTTGATTTAACTATAACTGTCCAAAATATAAAACAACATAAAGGTAAGTTTGCTTTATACGTATATACATATAATTATCATAATTAGTTATCAATTACTATACATATATTAAGATGTTAATTATTTAATAACCAATTTTGACTTACAATAATTTTTTTAAATGTATACAACTGGATAGTTTTAAATTTAGTCAAATTAGTTTAAATTATAGTTATATTTTGTCATAAACCCAAAATTTATTTTGAGGTTACGTTATGTGGTTTTACATCCTTAAAATAAGAAATCAACCATGTCGAAAACAATACAGAAAAAAAACAACTTAAACAAATTTTATTGTAATTAGTATTAACTTTATAAATTATTTACAAAGAATTTTAAAGAATTGAAATAAATAATCACATTCTTCTTTAAAATTAAGACACACAAAAATTTAACTTAGTATAAAACCGCAAATAACTCACAAGAATTAAAAAAAACACCCTGAAATTGACCTTAGCATTGATAATTGGGAAACATATAATTGGGACATTTGTATTATCAACTTTTATTCTTCAATAATGTCCATTATTCTGTTGAACTTTCCTAATTTTTGCTCTTCTGACAAATTTCGAAAGGCTTCTACAATAATTTTTTCAAATCCCAAAAGTTTACTATTCTGTTGATTTGCTTGCATAATTTTGACAAGCATATTTTTAATCTCTTCTCCACACTGAACAATTTGGTTCGTTTTTTCAGCACTTTGATTTTGAACATTTTCTTGAAAATTCGAATCTTTTGAAACATGATCCGCTTCAGCACCATCTTCATTTTGTTCTGCTTCAGCTTCTTCTCCTTGTTTTTCTTCTTGTTGTTCTTCTTCTCCTTCATCTTCTACTGTTTTTGTTTCTTTCTTTCCATATTGTACATTATTCGCAAATGCGTTATTTGGGGGAAAATCCCAACAGCTTCTTGACCTTAAACCAAAATTTTAAACATTTTATTTTGACAATTAAAAACAAGAAATAGGGTGATTGCACCAGTGAATGGACAGTTAGTGATTTTCACAACTTTGACTATTTTTTATTTTTAAATGGTAGTTTAAATACAGCAAAAAAATATAGTAATATATTCTCGAATACAGTGTCCATTCACTGGTGAAATCACCCTATAAGGAAATGTACATCAAATAATAACTATTTATTTTATTAAGAGAATTTATTTACTTACCTATAATGAGTAACATGATCATGTAAAAATGTCATATACTCATAATAATCAAAAGTTTTTTTTTCTGTGCACGATGCTGACGAACCACTTGGCACGTATTTTTTTTCTTTCTTGTGTTCAGTCATGTACAATTTTTTTAAGGAGTACCATCTTGATTTGATTGCTTCTTCTGAAAAAAGTCATTAACTAAACATAAATTGTAAAATATACTAATTATAAAAATAATTCTAAAAACAATGCTTTTATTTTATTACATATGAATATTGACGTTATTAAAAAAATGTTTCAATTTAAAATTGTTTATTAAATTTATTATTACCACTTTCAGTTTCTCCAAATTCTTCTTTATACAATTTTGCAATTTCTTCCCATGCTTTTTGATTCTTTACATTGTTTTTATATTTATTACAGTGCTTATTATACAAACAAGGGATCCTTTCAACACAATTAATGATAAATGTATTCTTGTCACTGTCCTCCAAAAAGTTGTTGTCCAATTCCATATTTATATCCATTGTAATTTTGTAAAATTTAAAATGATATACCTATATCAGATGTAAAGAATAAACGCCAATTGAACAAGCAATATTGGTTTCACGTCATAGATTAATCAACATTTAGATATGGTTTTATTTTTCCTGAATCTGCGCATGACTTCTACCTGAAGCTGTATCCACAGTGATTTCCATTTCGTAATATTCTGCTTTATATTTTGCACCGGAAAAATATATTTCATTGCACTTTTCAAAATGTTTGTAGTTGTTGCATTTAATTGTACAGTAATATAAACATTATTTTCTTATTTTTACATTAACAATCTTCAAAGTAATTTAATTTGAATTAAAGAACGTGTTGATAATAAAAAAACTTTTTGGCAATGATAAGGGTTCAATCACATGTGAGCAGATATTGGAAAGCAGAATTTCATGAGAGTGGAAAGGATGTAGAAGTTGTCACTCTATTATATACGCAGTCTCATGAAATTATAGTTTCAGTTCTGAACAGATGATTGAATTGCTGGATGGCGTATGTTTCGTGCTCTAACGTTTTCTTCGCTGTGTCTAAATATTCAAAAGTTTAATGTATTTTTTTGTGAGTGTTAAGTGTTGTTTTTGACGTCGATATACACACTATGGATTTAATACCTGCCTTCCAAGTTTCTTTGACTTGGATGAGAATTGTTAATTTATATTTACAACAAAAAGATGAAGAAGATCATTGGAGAAGATATTGGATCAAACCACATCTATATCCGCAAATTAGAAATGTTTACGGTGCTTCTTCAGTCCTTTTTTCATATGTGAAAAATCAAGACCATGAAGAATTTTATGACATTTACAGAATGAAAGAACATCAATTTGATGAACTACACGAAGTATTAAGGTTACGTCTGAAGAAACAATATCTTTGTCGAGAACCATTGTCTACAGAGCTTAGATTGGCAATTACGCTTCAGTAAGTTTTGTTTTATCAATTAGTTTTAATTTCTGCTTATTTCAATTATCACGTCAGTCTGCAAAGCTTTAGAAGATGCAAAATTATTTTTTTTAATAATAATTCATAATGTGCCTGTGATTTATTTCTTTTATTTATTATTATATAGTTTTTAAATTATTAAAAATTGTAATGATCCATGTTAACATTTATTATTAATTAAATATAATAATATTCGTATCCATTAATTCATTCATTCATTAATTCTGTCAACAGTTTGAAGTATTGGCGTATGCTTTTATTTTTCCAAAGAATTTTTTAAATTTCTTTAAAAAGTTCTACAATTTTTAAAAATTTTTATTAAATTATCTTAACTATATGCGCACTAAAGCGATATTTTTATAAATGTAAAAAAATTTTTGCTTTAAATTTGTTTACAAACAATTGCATGATAATTGCGACAATTATTTTGCCAATTACGATTAATTTATTTTTGACAAAAAGAAATCTTGAAATAATTATCGGTGATTTTCTTGCTTCCGAAGCTAATTTCATTGGTTTTTGAATTTGTCAAACTTCCGCTTTTCAGAAGTCAATTTTTATAACATTCTGTCATTTATTACGTCGAAAAAATTATTTTGTCAATTAAAATTACTTCTTCTATTCAAATGAAATCTTAGGATGAGTATCTGCGAGTTTTTTAAATTTGGGACCAATGCAATTAGTTTTTAAAGTTAGCGTAGTCGTCCGCTTTTAAATTAAAAGTAGATTTTTTCAAAACTTTGGTTTAAATAACTGTATTTAAAGTTGTTTAAAAATTAGAACTATTTTGCAAGATACAGTCGAACCTGGATAAGCGGAACCTGAAGGGACCGAAATTTTTGTTCCACTTATGGAGGTATTCCACTTACCCAGTTTTCCACTTAACCAGGTCGTTTGAGGTCTAGTTCCATTTAAAGAGGTTTATTCGTTTTGAGGTTTTTACATATGTTTTTATAATTATATTTCATTTAAAAAGACAAAAGTAAATAGTACTTAAGTAAGAAATTCATTTAACGTAGTTTGTGTTAGAGTGTTATGTGTCTTGTGTATGAATTTTTCTATGAATTTATGAACTAATCAATCGTGTAAGACAAACTAAACAAACAAGTGCGAAAACCGAAATCAATGACAAACACACTGATGGTAACTAAGACATACACATCGAGTAAATTAGCAGAGATGAATCATGGTTTATATGAAAATTACAAAAATTCCACTTATATAGGTACAGTTATCAAAAGTTCCATTTATAGAGGGAACGTTCCACTTATAGAGGTAACTTTAAGAGAAAGTTCCACTTATAGAGGGAACGTTCCACTTATAGAGGTAACTTTAAGAGAAAGTTCCACTTATAGAGGCCATTTTTCAAAATTTCAGTTCCACTTATAGAGGTAGCGTTTTCCCACTTACACAGGTTTTTTCAATATTTTGCATTGCTTGTGCAGGGACCGTAAAAAATGTTCCTCTTAAAGAGGAATTCCACTTATCCAGGGACCACTTATCCAGGTTCGACTGTAGTTGGAATTAAACAATTAGACAAATTTGTTCAAAATTGTTTTTAACGCAAAATAAAATTGTTCGCAGAGAAAATTTATTTTTATAATTATTACAGATATTTTAAAATTAAATCATATTGATTTTAAAAATTATTGAACATGTTTCGTTAATTTCTTTTGCATTTTCCTAAAAAGATTCAATTTTTTAAATTTATTTACCTTAATGTAAAGCAAATAAGAATAAAATATATAAAATTACTTTTTTGAGAATTGTTTAAACAAATTGCAATTGTTATTTCCTAACATTTTTGTACAATGAATTAGTAAATATTATTAATAGTTCTTAAACACTTTAAATGTATGCAATTCTTTTGAAATGAATTACACTGATTTAAATTAAAAGTATATGAATTTCAATTGATAAAAAGTATAAAAATGTTTGAAATGTGAAGTAATCTTAAATTGAATAAAAAATTTAATGCTTTCATATTTCTTTTTTCAACAAATCTATCAACTTTAAAAAATATTTGCCTTCTAGTTATCTGGCTCAAGGAGATAGTACCAAAACGTTAGCCAGGTACTATTTGATTGGAAGGTCAACATTATATGAGATTATTGCTGAGGTGACCAAAGCAATTTGGGATACTTTATCCAAAGTTCATCTAAAAGTTAAATCCAATGATGACTGGAAAACGATTGCTGAAAATTATGAAAAAAGGTGGAATTTTCCACATTGCGTTGGGGCTTTGGACGGAAAGCACATTAGGATTATAAAACCTCCATATTCCGGTAGCGTATTTTATAATTATAAAAAGTTTTTTAGCTTTGTGCTAATGGCAATGTGCGACAGTAATTATAAATTTACGTGGGTGGATGTTGGAGATTATGGTGAGTTTCAAAAAAATAGTTTTTATGAATTTTTGTAAATTCTAATTTCTATTACCAACGTTATTTATAATTTAGAAGTAAAATACTTCCTACACACCTATGAAGCAATTTGAATATTGTCTAATAATAATATCATACATATAATTTAATTTTACGAATTACAAAATTTTTAATTTCGTAGGATCTCTGTCAGATTCAAGTGTTTTTTCGGCCACTGGATTTGCCCAAGAATTAGAAAGTGGCCGTTATCGTTTTCCTACAGGAAAATCCTTGCCAGGAACAAATAAAGTTATCCCCTATTATATAATAGGAGATGCAGGTTTTGGTTTAAAACCCTATTTAATGCGGCCATATAGCCAGAAATTTATTAAGAGTCATCGTGAGGAAAATTTTAACTTTCGGTAAGTTTTTAATCCTTCATCATATTAAATATACACTTATTTTTTAATACAATTGTAATAATAATATTAATAGTAATAATAATAGTAATAATAATAGTAATAATAATAATAGTATGAGTATAATTAATTGCACATTATCTAGTGCACGTATGACGATTGAAATTTCGTTTGGCATATTGACAAGCAGATGGCGAATTTTGCTGGGAATGTTGTCATTAAAATTGGAAACATCGATAACCATTGTCCAATGTTTGATCTGCTTACATAATTTTCTCATAAGTAATGAGGATTATGAGGATGATGAATCCAAATTGTATGCGAGTGCAAAACTTATTAACAGACTTCTCTAGGAATATGAGGAAAAAGTCGAAGAAGTTGATGAAGATGAAGATGCAAGACGTCATGAAATCAAATCTCAAAAAGAAATAAGAGACGCTATCGCAACATACTTAGAATGAAAAACTCCCTTGTAATTTAAAAAGATAATGATGTTTTTTATTATTAACGAGTCGATTTATTGATCGTTTTATTATTATTGAAAACAATAATAAAAAATTAAAACATTTGTTGTTCATTTTAGGTGCGAGAATGGATTAAATAAATAAAACAATATTTTATTTTATGTAAATTTACATTGCTCTTATGCATTTTCGTTCAAAAGTTGAACGATGTAACAAAAATAACTTTAAATATAATATACATGGGTGATTCTCCAGAAATACTCATTTTTATGAGTATGAAAAAAGAAAAAGGAAAATCAACTGTTTGAAGTTCATACCATTGAATAATATTAAGCTTTAAAAAATGTAATATCTCTATAACATTATCACGCTAATATTTATATTTTAAAGAAGATATTCAAAATTGAAATTCATTAAAAAACAAGAGGTTGAAAATTGTTGCAAATTGCTTTTTTCGATTCAGAGACATCTTCACAAGATTTGAATTTCAATTAATTATTAAAATAAATTGATTTTTTACAATTTAAAATGTCAAGCAACTTTAAATTAACAAATAGTTTATTATTTTAATTGAAAACACCAGAATAAAAAAGTTTTTTAAAAATCAACCGTTACTTTTCAAAAAATTTAGGTTAATTTTTCAGTGACAGTTTATAAACAATTGATAGTCATGTTAATTTTTAATTTTGATTCAAAGGAACCAGAGGAATGATGATTTGAACACTTCTTTATTTTTATTTAATTATCAAAAGATTTTCCTCAAATTACGAATGCCCTATTATGTTCGTGTAGGATAACTGTATCCTAAGAAAATTACAAATAATTTATGTCTACTAATATTGTTTTTATCATAAGGCAGAGGAATGACGATTCTGCTTGTGAATCTTTGCTTACGCAACTATTTTTATTTTTTTAACTTAAACTAATGATTTCTTTTAAAAAGTAACGTAGGGAATTAATAATATAGATATTAATACAAATATTTATTACAATAATTAATAAATTATTTCGACCACAGCGTAAATATTGGATAATATTTAAAAAGCTAGAGGAATGAAGCGAAACCAGAGAACAAAATTATTTTAAAAAAAACGACGAGACATATTTTATTTATACCCTAACAGCACGGGATATCGCGAAATATCCAGATATTATCCTGCGATATCCCTGGGATATCCCATGGATATCCACTGGACGATATCGGGATATCCCAAACACCGGCGGTTTGGATATCCCTGGGACATCCCAGGGATATCCCTGTGGTATCCTACGATATCCCAGGGATATCCTGCGATATCCTAGGGATATCCCAGAGATATCCTGCGATATCCTAGGGATATCCTGCGATATCCCAGGGACATCTCAGGGATATCCTGCGATATCCCAGGGACATCTCAGGGATATCCTCCGATATCCCTGGGATATTTATTTTATTTCTCCCACTTAGTCTTTATAATTTATTTACGTGCATATTCTTTTAAACATTTCCACACTTCAGTCATAATTTTTTTACAAGAAAATGAACATAGTTAATTAATTTTTATTATCTAATCAGCAAATATAACTGTAAAATGAAAATTTTATAAATGTTAACAAATAAAATGTATCAAGATACTTCCCCAGTGGGCAAAAAACCATGTTCGTTCTGAAAACGTTTAAAGAACGTTTTTAAAACGTTTCATGTCCGCCAAATAATGTTCTAGAACATTTTAGGAACATGGATGTTCAAACAATGTTCTGGTACATTTTTTGGCTGTCATGAAACGTTTTAAAAACGTTTTAAGGTCATGTTATTCAGTGTGACGTATTTCCATAGTAAAGTATATGGGGCACGTGTCCACTGAATAACATAACCTTAAGGACGTTTTTGGAAAGAACATGGTTTTTTGCCCACTGGGTCAATACATGTTAGTACATTTAGAAAGCTATAATTGAATTCGTGAACTGAAAAAATAGGATATAAAAGTAGAAAATGATTTAAACATTTTTTACGTCTCAGAAATTGCTATTGTAAATATATGATTGAATTATTATTCACATATACAGAATAAATGCACTGATATCACTAATATTTTCTTTCAGCAACTGAATATACTACGGAAGCCCGTATTCGCCACCTGGTAAGAACATTAAACATGCATAGCGTTCGAGCTATGTTCGAGCATTTGTTAAATTCAAATGTTTACATGTATTATGCTTATTTAGGACATATTCATATTTTTCCGAAAGAAACAAAAAGAATTTTATTCTTTAACAATTTTAAGAATAAAAAAGTATATATTTCGAAACCTGTGTGGACAGTTGCTTCGTTTAGTTCGTTCCAAAAAAAGTGATCGTTCAAAAATCAGCAAATTTTCACACAAGTTACGAACGATACTTTTCATGTCAAGGTGCAAAAAAGTGCCTTTTTTACACCGCGTTATGAGAAAATTGATGTAGTTTTAGTAGTTTTCATATTATAAGACATCGTGTGAAAAACTAACCTCAATAGATTACATTTACCAATATTAACCATATTTATATTATAATTATATGTTCTCATAAATTCTCAAAAAAAGACAGAGCACATTGATGTCGAGAATATGCTTGAGAATATTCTCGTGCTCGTGAGAATTTTTCCGAGCACTTAACCATTGAAGGCTCAAGCACAACTGCTTCGCGAACGAAAAGCATGAGTTAGAAAAGGACAGAGATATATGTGTGTCCTTTTTTATCACATGCACCTCGTTCGCGAACGACATTCGCGAATCTATTGTGCGTTGGCCTTACGGGTGCAGTTCCATGGAGCAGATTAGCAGATTAGATTTCAGCCAATAAAAATGTAGTCCCTTAGGGTGCAGTACCATGGAGCAGATTAGCAGATTAGATTTCAGCCAATCAAATATATTTGCCATAAAGGGCTACATTTTGATTGGCTGAAATCTATTCTGCTAATCTGCTCCATGGGACTGCACCCTTACGGCAAATGTTTTTGATTGGTTAAAATCTAATCTGCTAATCTGATCCATGGGACTGCACCCTAAGATCACTTGCACTGCCAGTGCTGGCGGGTGTCCATGGTAACTTACAAGAGTGAGAGAGATAGACAATTGTTTTGTCTTTCTCACTCTTCTAAGTTACCATGGACACCCGTCTGCACTGGCCGTGCAGGCGGAGCTGTGACCGCTCCCTTACCTGCATTCATGAAATTCTGTTTCCTTTTTCTTCTCCGTGTGATTTCACCCTTAGGGTTCAGTCCCATGTTGAGGGTGAAATCACATGGAGAAGTAAAAAGTAAAATGTCAAGCAGTTTTTCATGAGTACAAGTGAGATAGACAGATAGGCTATCCTTTCCACTCTCATGAAAAACTGCTTGCGTTTTACTTTTTACTCATCCATGTTTTTTCACCCTGAGCAGAAAACCTTCAGCCAGGGATGGGTAAATGTCGCAAACTCAAGGTTTGCTACGTATGATACCTAAAATGTGTAGTAAACGTAACAAATTGTCGCAAACGTCGCAAACCAAATTATAAATATAACCTCACTTTTCGGATGTCAACTCGCCTCATCAGTCATCATCATAATAACAGATAAATTATAATATCTCAGGCAACTCAGATAAATAGATCTACTGATAAATATAAAGAGATGAAATATTCTTTAAATAATAATTTATTGCACTTCAGTTTAATAATTTTTATTAAGTTAATAAGTGTTTTTATATGTCTTTACTCTTTACTCTTCTGAAAAATTAAATAAAGATCTTTTTGATTTTTAGAAACAGCAGGAAGAAGCGGATGAAATTTCGAAGATATTGAATTTAGCAGAAAAAGATCTTCAACTAGGGATGTTTTTTTTTGGATTTATTATTCCATTCGCGGTTGTCGAATCCAATTTTTTTAAAAAGTTTGTCAAAACTTTAAATCCGAATTACTCGCCGCCTACCAGAAAAACTCTTAGTAATTCTATTTTAAAAAAATTTATAATAAAATGTTGACCTCGATTCATTTTTAAAAAGAATGTCCACAAAGCAATAATCAAACGAATCAAACAAATATTCAAAAACTAAACACATAGCGGGAACCAACTAGATTGAGGTTATATTTGCTTTTGACCATTACGAGTGCCTACGTCATAAAATGTAACAAACGTTGTGTAGCAAACTGAACAAGTTGTATACACATGTAACATACGTAGCAAACTTAGGTAACATACATGAAGTATGATACTTACCCATCTCTGCCTTCAGCATAGCAGAATTTCATGAGAGTGTAAAGGAGAGAAGATAGCGCTATCCTTCACACTCTCATGAAATTGTGCTTTCTTCTTTCACATGGATTACACACTAATAATTAAAAATAATAATAATGAAATAATTATAATATAAATAAATAAAATAAATAAAAAATAATTATAATTAAATAATAATAATTAAAAATAAAACCATGAAAAAATGCGAGTTGTGACTGCACCCTTAAGGTCTATTGGGTAGAAAGTTTGGTGTGATAAGTTCGCGCATCTATATATTTTCTTTATAGTCTTTGATCGTAACCAAGAAGAAATGCTGGTAACTATGCATAACAGACATTTGCAATTTGCTAACAAACAAATGAAAATACAAAACGGAAACGTATACGTTTAAGCCATTTTGTCGACGCTTAGTGTAGTAACGCTTTTTCGGAAATAAATTTGTGTGTGATACATATTGTATCAAATGCAGAAATGTCGGCAACAAAAAAGAGATTTTTGTTAATTAACTTCAAAGATGGAGCTCAGGTTATACCGCGAAACTGGGTTAGTGAAAATAATACTGTATTTTGGCCAACATTTAAGAGTATGGCTTATTTTTACAAAATCGTTGAATCGGAAAAAGAACCAGAGTCAAATTGGATTGAAATCGAGTTAGAAGAAGAAATTGCATCTGCAGGTAAGTAAATTTTTCAATTTTTTTTTGTAATGTAAATCACATTTTAAAGATAATGGAAAAAAAATCGTTTTGCTCATTTTTAAAAAGCTCTGAAAAATTTATTTCTCGCGCAGTGTTGTCGGCTTAGAAAGATTTT